ACATCTATGCATTCATTCAATACATTCATACATTTATTCAATACATTCATCCATTCATCCATTTATCGTGTAACAGCTATGAACCACACATAGTGCTAGACACTGGGGATATAGCCATAAATATGGCAAAGATTCTTTCCCCTAGAGCTCTTGATATCATTTCCATCTGTCATCTTTCTCTAGGTGAGCATCCCTATTTCCTCAAACCTGTATTCCTGAGACATTACTCTGGTCTCCAACCCCCTTAGTATCCTGGGGTTCTCCTGTGAAGGTGCTTCAGCATTTAAGTAGCACCATAAGGGTACCACTCACCTGCCGTCTTCCACCCCCAGGTAGAATAACTCCTCCCTATCTCTGCACCTGTAGGTTCTCCCATTTCTAGAATTATTTCACCAACTACTAATTATCTGTTTAGTGCCTCTGTTTCTCCTACTACATTGTTAACTCTTCAGTAGCAGATGCCATGTCCTCCCTTTGTATCTCTGGGCCCTACATCATATCTGATACATAGTAGGTGCTTGGTAAATATTTGTTGGAATGAATTGAACTGAAAAATACTTTGACTTACGCAGTTCCCTGTTTGTCTGTTGGTGGTTTGGTCTGTTTTGATAGCCAGGACACAATTACTCTTTGAGTTTGGGAAAAAACTTAACAGCCCTTTTACAAGTTTTAATGTGTGCAGTTTTAATCTGATTGCAAGTACTTTGTTCTCTTTTATGTGTCCAAATATGTGTCTTTACTCTTACGCATATTCTACAATATGTTAGTACTACCTAATAATTTCAGGCATTTTAACTCTTTGTGACTCTCAATTAGTCTCCTGGTATGTAACTCTCCTTTCCAGATGCAAACTTGGTTAACATACACTACAGATTCATTTAAGTCTTTGATAAAAATATTGGACAGACAAAAGATAATATCAGAATCTTGTGACACACACTGGAGGTCTCTATCCAAGGAGACATTGATTTATTATTCACTGCTCTTTGTGTTGACTACAAATCTATCTTATCCTATCTTGCATGCAAGGAGATTTTGAGATATTTTGATAAATGCCTTTGTTAAAATAAAGATAAGACTGCTGAGTGATGTGTTGGTTAAGAGCTGGCTTGGGACGCCAGCTTGAGCAGCAGGGCCCCAGTTTGGATCCCACATGGGGGCCAATGACACTGCCCTCTACAGCTAAGATGGTGAACAACAGCTCAACCTGGAGCTGGGTTGCTAGCAATGACGTAGGCTGCAGCCCCTGCTGCAGTGGGCTGCCATAAGCTACCGTGTGTGGCTGGCAGCCAGTGTGAGCGGCTGGCAGCCCATGTGAACTGCAAAGAGCCGCCGTGAGCAGCTGTCCAGAGGCTGGCGACCAATCTGCCTCACCCTACCAACATGGGCCAGTGAAGCAACGTCCTCCACAACTAGACTGAAGAACAAAATGACAGCAACTTGTCTGTTCCCCTTCCCCGATTCCCCAATAAAATCTTAAAAAAATAAATAAATAAATAAAGATATGATGTGTCTATCACATCCCCTATCCTGTTAAAATGTGAGGTCAATCAGTTAAACCTCTTTTTTGTGAACCCATATTGGCTCCCAGAATCAGAGATTTTTTTCCAGTGCTTACAAATAAGGTAAGTTCTAAAATTTTGTTAACATTTATCTCAAACTCACTTATCTATATTTTGGAGAGTTCACTCTCCATCTTTTTAGACATTTGGGGAACTCTGAACAAGATGCTGGGTGATTTCTCAAAGCTTAGGTTCACCAATGTTAGGTACCGTGTGAAGGGCTTGCATACTGTTACCTTATCACTGCAGTGGTTCTCCATTCAGCACTTTATTTTTATATTTTGGGATCTAATGAAATTCACTTAAAACATTAGACACTCTGTCCTAACGCATTTCTAGGAATAATAATCTATATGGATGACATCTGCCAGTTTTTTAGATATGATACATATGGAGTATAAAGGTGACTCATGCCTACCATTTTATATCATTTTTAAAAGGGGAAAGGAATGTATGTTAAATACCTCTTAAAAGTGTGGTGATATAGGAATAACATCATCTTTGATGATGCTTTTCACTTTTTAAATTGTTGAATAACAAGTGCTTTAGACAAATAAAGTCTTTTATTCTCTTTTTAAAAATAGTGCTGTTATTTGTAATCCAAAGTTATGATCTAAAGTATCATACCTGTGGGAATTGTCAAATACATCAGGATTTGGCTTTTTAGATATATTGCCTTGTCTTTATTGCTATTTTTATAATTAACACAGTGAAATGCATCCTTGTACATGGAAAAGAAAACTTTTGTTTGTTCCTCTACTCACACTCACAATATTTCTGACACCAAATGTGTGGGTTTATTCCAATCAACTGACCAATTCTCTGACCCCGGCTGCATGTCCTACATTTCAATTTTATTTGGATGCTCTACGTGGCATTAGCGTCAGATCCCCCAGGTTCACCACTCAGTCCCATAAAACTGCCCCCACTTCAGATGCCAATCATAATTAGTGGGTCCCTAGGCTACCTACATTTTGGCCAACTTAACTACAAATTGGGGGTTCCCATGACCCCTCCTCAGGTTCAGCGATTCACTGTAATGGCTCGCAGAACTCAGGGAATCATGTACTTACGCTTTTGTTCGTTATATAATAAGGGGTATGGTAAAAGAGACAGATGAGCAGCCAGATGAAGAGATACACAGGGCAAGGTCTGGAGGGGCCCGAGCACAGGAACTTCTGTCCCCATGAAGCAGGGGTACACCATCCTCCTGTCACATGGGTGTGTTGGCTAACCTGGAAACTCTCCGGACCCTGTAGTTCAGGGATTTTTATGGAGGCTTCATCATGTAGCCATGATGGCTTATTAACAATCTCCAACCATGCATCCCACCCTGGAGGATGGCGGGTGGGGCTGAAATTTCCAAGCTTCTAATCATGGCTTGGTCTTTCTGGTGACCAGTCCCCATCTTGAAGCCATCCAGGAACCCACCAAGAAGACACTTCTATCACCGAGGAAATTTCCAGGAATTTAGGAACTCTGTGTCAGGAACCAGGGCCAAAAACAAACTATTAGAACAACAGATGCTCCTAGCACCTTTATTACTTAGGAAATTATAAAGGTTTTTAGAATCTCTTGACCAGGAGTCAGGATGAAGAACAAAACATTTCTGATTATATCACAATATCACATATATTTGAACATTTTATATGTGAATATATTCATATTTGAACATTTTTCTGGTTATTTCCTTACGGAAAATTTCTAGAAGTGGAGTTTTTGTCAGTAGGTATGCATTTTGCAAATCCTTTGATACATAGTGACAACCTTCAGACCTTCCAATTTGGTCACCCACCAACCAGATGTGCAGTTATCTGTTTTCTCTCATCGTCACGGGTCTGAATGAATTTTAAATGAATGGTTAGTTGGTCTGGAAAGCTCAGCCTGATGAAGTGGGAAACTAAAACCAACCTCAGGGTGATGGGCTCTTAGGAAACTGCACCCAAATTCTCCAAGGATGGGCACTTGGCCTTGCCCTTCTCACAGCTCCACCCCCATTCTGATTTCCAGCAGCTCTCTTACCATATGTGGGTCTTCTTATACTGGAGTGGGATGCTGTTCTCTCTTCCTCAGTTGGATCTTCCAGTCGCCTAGTTTACTGCCGAGTCCTCTTTCCCTTTGGGTGCGTTATTTCACACCAGGTTCCTGTCTTAAGGGTGCTGAGGTGTGCACAGACTTGTGAGTCCGCCAGCACAGCTGGCGTCAGAACCCTGTAGTTGGATCCCACACAGCAGTTCATTTTTCTAAGCTTAGTTAGAACCATGATTATTTCAGTGGGAATGAAAATGGAGTCGATTAGCAGCTATGACATTTAGATTCAGGTGTCCAAATAAAACTTGAGATGTTTAAAATTCTGTAAATTAAAGCTGTGCATGAATCAAGTCAAGTATTTAGAGTATGCATATGTCGTTGCTAAAGTTGACTTTTACATTCTCATTTGTTTTGGCAAAGAGCACGTGTTTCTATAGGAAGCAGGTCAAGGGCATGAACATAAAGATGTGGGGTAGCTGTTCTGGAGAAATTGGCTGGAGTATAGATAATGTAGGTAGTACCATCTAGGGTGTATATGCTCCCTGCCAAGAACCATACCCTATAGAACTGTAGTTTTTAATAACCACAGAGCCTCTATTAGGGACATTATGTCCTGTTATTAAATTTAAGGCAACCTTCAGAAGTCTCTCTGTTCTGCATTCCTATCTCAGGAAAGTATTTTTTTACACGTTGAACAATAAATTTCCCTCCTCTTTGTGGTTTCTTTGTCATCGTCTTAGAATTCTGATTCTGAGATCTGTGGGAATTTATGTTAGAAAACATTTAATACAAATTGTGAAATGCTATGCTTATGCTCCTCCTTTAAATTTAAGCTGCTGGTGGTAATAGCACACAGGTGCCCTGACACTCCCTTGTGGGGTGTTAATTAATCATATTTGGGGTGCCTAATCTGGAAATTTGTTTCCTGGTGGCACCATGGGTGAGAGAACATGTTCATGCCTGGTTTGTCCCAACTGTGACCACAGTCACAGTCTCATGGCCTCTTTCTCATCTCCAGTGGCTGTGACTGACCCACAGCACTGTGGACTTGCCGGTGGATACTCTGCGGCTTGGGAAGAGGTGGCAGTGGAGCAAGAGTATTGTGGGGTGTTTGCATTAGCCTTGGAGAGAGGAAAACGAGTTCAGCACCTATCGGCCGCCTTCTCAGTGAGACCACAAAGCTTCTGAAACAGTATTGTATTGCATTTGCAATGACTTCTGCAGCTAGGAAAATTCTGAGGTAGGATCAAAGTGAGACGCAAATAGGTAGCGTGATCTTATGTGGGACATCATTTAAAAATAATTACTTGACTAGTTTGCTTTTTACAAATGATGAATTTCCTCTGCTTTGCTTGTGCTTGTGCTCTGTGTGCTGCTAATTATTTTTCTTTTTGTCTTTTTGTATAGGCTAAACATATTTTTGACTGGCATGAACCCCTTCTACTTTCATGCAGTAAATGTAATTTTGCACTGCCTAGTGACTCTCGTGCTGATGTACACCTGTGACAAAACTGTCTTCAAGAACCGTGGACTTGCTTTCGTTACGGCGTTGCTTTTCGCTGTGCATCCTGTTCACACCGAGGCGGTGAGTGTCACTGGAACTCAATGAAATAATGAACCAAAAGAAAAAGCTAAACTGATCTTTTCTTTTTCCCTTTCAAAACCATGTTAATTCAAAGCTCTACTAACGTGTTTATCTTCTATATAAATCATTGTGCTTGACAACTTTTCTTTTTTGTATGTTCAAATGGCCTGTATTACACCGCCAGGATTTAACTGCTTTTCTAAATAGACACTGTTATTATTACAGGTAGTAATAAATGATCACAGTTCTTTATTTGCAGAAAATTTAAATCCTAATGTGTTTTAAACAGCAAGGGGTATTTTGAGATACTTACCATGCTAGATCATTGTTCCTGCTCTCCATTTATTTGTTACCTTTTCTCACTCTGCTTTATATTTATAATATTTATGATATAGAACTGTAAGTGCAAGGAGGAAGACTCTAAAAAGTTAGACTGACATTCTTCAAGTTAGAAAGACAGACTTAAGAGACTAACATAGTTTTCCAAATTATCTAATATTAAGGGTAGCTATTTTGTGGATGATAAGAAATTTACTTCGAAAGTATAGCTACTTTAGCTATCTGACCCTCTTTAAAATATTGACTTAAGCATAACCCGAGATGGCATTATCAAGTTACCTTGTTTCACATCTCAGAACCCACAGTTGGTTTATTTTATGTACTGCTAGAGTAGATGAAGACTTTCAAGGGGGTCCCTGGGCACCACAGCTTTAAAAGGATTGTTTCCAGAGCCTCAGCTTGCACCTGGACACTTTCCTCAAGTTGATCTGCCTGAGAACACACCTAGAGTAGAGGTGTCAAGTTGGTTCCCCTCCTCCCTCTTACCCTTCAATTGCCCTTCTCTCATTAAAAGGGAAAGAGGGAAGGGGGACGGGGGAGAGAAAAGAAGGAATGAAGGAAAGAAGGGTCTCATATACATCAGAAACTTACTATGCCTCAGGAGTACAAATCTCCCAGGAACCTTATAAAACAACTATTTGATATATTGATGTCAGCAAAGCCTCCTTCAATGAAAGCTTCATAAACCCAAAGTAGGGTTTCATATCTTTCTGTCTTATACATATTTCTGTGAAGAATAGAGCATGGCATTGGGAGTAGGGTATGGTGGCCTGTGCTGAAGTTCCTAATTCAGAAGTGAGATGATTGTCATGGAGATGCATAATAATATGTCCATTTGAACCACCACAAGAAGTCTGATTTGGTCAGTTGGTTTGATAATGAGGACTGGTTTTGCCAGTAAGGCTATAATATGGACATTTTCCACAAATAAACTTCTAAATCTGTAAGCCTAGGTTTTGACAAAAATGAATTTAGAGTGAGTGATCAAGAAAAAAATCACTTTATTTAAAAATATTACATTATTAAAGGTAATTTTCCCAGCTCTTCCTGAGTATCTCAGGCTGAACAAGTTGCCTATAAATGGAAGACGATGAGGCATAAGTAACAGTCCTTTGGAAAGTTTTGGTAAAGCCTTTTTGCTGTACTTCTGAGAAACTGAAAGTGAATGACTCTGATGACAGGTAACTCCAGTGATAGTTATGTTTAAATTATTTGCTTTCAACCATATTAAAGCAGGGCCTGATTGAGTTGTCAGTTGGTAGATCATTAAATGATATGTAAGATGATAAATTACTATGATTTTGCATATAACTTTGGTGTTCAAAGAATTAAGTCACAACTATAACATGGCTAGTTCTGTTCTCATTTCTGTGAGCAGTCTATGAAGATGAAAGCTAGGAATAGAATTGATGTTGCATGCTTTCTTATTTAACAAGTGATAATATACAGCTATATAGATCACTGAATTTATTGAAAAGAAAGCTGCTACATCTTTTACTTAGAGATGTGTTTTTATATTTGATAATCATAATTTTTTCCCTAATTTATTCCTGATACATTGAACAATTGTATATCAATACTAATTAGTATAATAATACAAAATTAACAATTTAACACTTAGAAGCTTTGGTCACAGGAAATTTTTAGAATAAATGTAATTATGTATGTATTTTAGTACACAGAGAGATGATAAAATATATATATATTTATATATTTACATTTATATATATATTTTTTTTTAATTGGGGAATTGGGGGAGTGAAACAACGCTGGAGAATTGGGGAGGGGGACCAGCCAAGTTATTGTTCTTTAGTCTTCTTTGTGGAGGATGCCAGTCGCTATCTGGCTGCCTGTAGGCAGCTCATGGCCTCTAAGCTCAAGGTGCTTTGTTACAATCTTAGTTGCGGGTGGGCATAGCCACCATCCCATGCAGGAATCGAACCAGCAGCCTTGTTGTTAAGAGCACACGCTCTATCCACTGAGCCATCCGGGTGACAGCTCAACTCAAGGTGCCGAGTTCAGTCTTAGTCGCTGGCAGGCGTAGTCCACAATCGAACAGGCAGTCTTGTTGTTAGTAGCACGTGCTCTCACCAGCTGAGCCATCCTGCCACCTGTTGGCATCTCACAGGTAGCTCAGCTTGGGCACAGCAGTCACTGGCCCACATGGGAATCAAACCGGCGGCCCTGTTGCTCAGAGCTCATGCTCTTATGCTAACTCTTAACCAGCTGAGCCAGTCGGCTGGCCCGATGATAAAATATTTTTGAGTATAACTACCAGGGGTGCCAAAAAAATGTATACAAGAGGACACTTTGGTCAACATTACTCAAGCAGTAGTTCGCCCTAATCAGAAGTGTCTGGACACTGATGGTAACCACTTTGAGCACCTCTTGTAATTGCAGAAGTCAAACGTGACTTGTATTTATCTTTTGTTATCGGCATATATTGAGCATTACAATTTTAATAGTTTTTTCCTTTCTTAAAATGTGTACGAAATTTTTTGGCACCCTTGGTATATAACACATTAAGAAAAAATACTGAGGGAGAAATGAAGTGGAAATATGAGTTGAAGGGGAAGGGTGTAAATGTCTACCATATAAAGACAAGACTGTTCATGTTATTTAAATGGAAAATGATAAGCTTCAAATTGTTATGGTACATTTCAGATTCCATTTGGTACATTTAAAACAATAACATTATAGTCTTATTTTAAAATATCATTATTTACAATTCATGGGAAATTAGATTCTTTCAAGTATTTAAAATTATGATGAAAAATTTTAGATATTAATTTTAAGAGATGAGAGAGATACATAAGTGTACTATTTCTAGCCATGTGGAATATATATGATGCTGGATGAAAGGCAATTTATTTTTTTTTTAAAGATTTTTATTGGGGAATTGGGGGATGGGAACAGCGCTGGGGAATTGAGGGAAGGGGAGCAGACAAGTTGCTGTTGTTTTGTTCTTCAGTCTAGTTGTGGAGGACGTTGCTTCACTGGCCCAAGTTGGCACCATCATTGCGCTCTTCCTGGGCGAGGCAGATCAGTCTCCGGCTTCAGGACGGCCCATCATAGGGGCTGCTGGCTGCTCACACTGGCTGGCAGCGACTCATGGCAGCCCAGCTCCAGGTTGAGCTGTTGTTCAGCATCTTAGCTGTGGAGGGCAGTGTCACTGGCCCTCATATATGGGATCCGAACCGGGGCCCTCTGGCATCCCAAGCCAGCTCTTAACCAATGCGCCACTAGGCCGGTCCCAAAGGCAATTTTTAAATATAAGTCCATGGACAATATTAAGTCCCTGACAAATAATTTTTAAAGTATAGTTGAAAATTCCATGCTTAGAATGTCTTTGGGAAATTTTTGTAGGAAAGAACAAATACATAGGGCAAAAACAGTCTTAATTCTATGCTTGCAGAGTAGGAGAACATGAAACCCAGGTAATCTTTGGCAATGTGATCATGAGCTGATAAAGTTAAGTTGAATTCTAAATAAAAAGGGAAAGTGCTGTTAGCAAAATGACCTTTAAGAAAGGGTTTCAACAAGCTTTTGTACTAATTGAAAAAAAAATCCATGGTAACAGGATTATAGGGGCAAAGGAGTCTAAGGGTCAGGCACTTATTTAGGGAAAAGTGTTCAAGAAACTATTTGCATTTACAAGGAGATGAGAGAGGTGAAAGACGGAGGCAAACAATAATCTATACTAGGAGGTAAAATCAAGAGACTATTATTTAATCATAGATATTGAAATGTCTAAGGAGGAGGACAGAAAAATTGAAAACAGAGATGTGCTTTATAGAAGACATAGTGACAAATTATTTAAAAAAACAAAAATGTACCATAGTGGGTAGGAAGGGGAGTTAGTGAAGGAGGTATCTCCCTTTTATTAAACAAAAATAAAAGTGGGACCATAAATTATCTCAAGAATGGAAGATTTAAATTTTAGGGGGGGAGGGGTTTAGTTTTAGTTGCTTTATTAATTATGTAATTGACAAATAGTCAATGAGTACTTGCTCGGTGTGGGCATCTTGCTGGGTATGCAGGGGACATGTGGGTGGATAGCAGGGCCCCAACCCACAATTTGTTCACAATCTCTTAGAAAAATCAGAGCATATACACGTTAAATACATAGAAGACAAAGCAGTATGTTTTAATAAAACAAGGCTCCCAGTGGAGGTAAAATTATTTCCAATTTAAGTAGACAGGAACAAATTCATTTATTGACTCAATTTTTCCAACAAATATTTGAGAGACTGTAATGTAGTCCTGAGTGTGGGGATACAGCAATGAATGAGACCCAGACCTTTCTTATTTAAGGAGCTGTAATTCTTGGGTTTCCTGACAGTGTATTTCTTGGGAAATTTATGCTTTTCTAAATATGAATCATGAGAAAGATCAGTAGAGAAACTGGGAAAATGGGGAACATTATTGTAATTTTCCTGTGAGAATTAAAGTTTCATCATACAGACATTATTGATTTGAAGGAATGCACTTAAGTAAAAAGCAAAAGCAGGAAATGCTGACACATGGAGTTGAAGGTTAAGGTCGACTTTTTCAGAACTGGGACAAGAAGGGCACATAGGAGAGAATGGTTATGATCTGATCAGTCAGTCCAGCCTTCAGCTGTTGTCATGTGTCAAGTGTGTATTCCTGGCTCTGACACT